TAAATTGTTCCAGAAAACATTTCATGTTTATATAATAAACCATTCATGTTTATGAAAAATAGTGTATTTCTAATCATTTATTTTTTTACGCAGTAAATATACCGTTATCAAACAAATAGGCTATGCAAGATCCCCATAGGCAAAAAGAATATTTACGAGATGGTTCCATTTTTTATTGAAGAAAAATCTTATATAAACCTCGATTTTTATGAAATTCAACAAAAAAGTTGACAAATATTTTTATACTTAAAGTGAGTAAAAGAGACTTGGATAGAATAGAAGGAAAAGGTAAGCGTAAACGAACACTACACAGTTAATGGAATTGAATATACTTGTATTTCAAACTTCAAATACAAAACTATTCATGGACTAAATTGAGATAGGAATATATTACTATAAAATTAAAGATTTAACTCTACAATGTATGTCATATTCGATTGTTAATTTTAAAAAAATGAATATGATTTGTATATTGTTTATTCAAGATCAACTTGTTTGAACATTCGAAACAATAAAATGTGATAGAGATTATTTGTTATCATCATATGTATATATGTGTGTGTATGTATTTTGTGTATTTAGATGCGATGTAGGATGTAAGGATAAAAGTTTACCCAAGGAAAGTACTAATTTTTCTTCTTTTTCTTCTTCATCTATCTATCTTTCGAGCGTTTAAAATAAACAAATGGTCAATATTCTTCTATCATTGATATAAATATGTTATATGTGCTTGAATGAACGGAAAATTATCCGGATGATTTTTAATGAAGAGACTATATTAAATATAAGTTTTTACTCTTCTTCTTTTTTTTATCCAGATGGTTAACCGATTGTTTTTAGATATTTTTTTTTTTATAGGTTTTTTTTGTCATCACTTTTCTCTCTCTCTCTCTCTCTCGGTTTATACTCAATTGTACATATTATAATTACAAATGACCTTGTATCAGAGAAGAAGAAAAATAAAAAAGAAGAAAAAAAAAGAAAATGGGCAATAAATACTCGATTTTGTCTCCTTGAATAACGTTATGTATAGGTTGTTAAAAAGTAGAGTCTTAGACAAGAAGAAGAAAGAGAGAATTGATCGTTATCCAAAATCATATTATATATAGTGTAAAAATCCATCAAGAATCTCTAACTGTCATTGTGTAGTAAATTGATCATCGTATGTCAACTAGTGATAGGATGATGTTAATATTAATAAATAATAATGAAAATATCTAGTCAACATTTGAATATATTGTAATATTGAACAATATATTTTCCTTGTTCATCTTTTAATTTGTGTTTATTCAAATAATTTTATTATAAAGTTCAATATTAATAAATAAAAGTCTTGATTATTTTTACTATTAAATTATTTCACTTAAACAATTTAAAAATTATTAAATTCAATAGTTTTCAATTAACTTGAGAATGAAAGACGAGCAAAAAACGATATATATATATATAGTGTGATGTTCTTTTGTAATAAATGTTGCTTTCTTTGTTCTTATCATCATATTAAAATGTTTACTGTCTGTTAGCCATATATATTGTTTATTTTCATTTCTTCTAACATGAATTATTGATCAAAAAATATTCCATCTGATTCATTAACCAGATAAATGAATACTAAAAAATATTTGGAAATCCATTCTAAGATATAGTTGTTTTTGTTTTTTTGTTTCTCTTTCCTACTTTTAGAGAGAGAGAGAGAGAGAGGGACAGAGAGAGAGAGCTGTTTACAAATTTTAATATTGTAACTGTTTATTTTGTCTAAACGAATTAAATCAATTTTCAGGTCCTTTTTTTTATCGATATAAATTTGACAGAGCATCTAGAGAGTCATTATTGAATCATTACAACTGACATTTGGTTGAGAAGTCCCTAAAAATAGGCATCTGCAGAGCTAGAAAACATAACTTTTAATAAATCTTGAGCATTATTATTGAGATCTAGAAAAACAAGACAGTGCATTCTGTTTTTAAACAACAAATAAATCAGGACTAGTGAATAGACAGAGAGTATTACTGTGTAGAACTCTTTCATGGGCAAGATCCATAGCCATATCTTCATCGAGAGCTTGCGTAAGTACAAAGATACAATTGTGTAACTCAAGTTGAGAAAACTTTTAACTAAAAATCCGGTCATATATGTAGTGAAAATTTTTGAACGTTTTGGTTAGATTTTAACCGAGTATTTTTGTAACGTTTTTTTCTTCTGATGTTCGTTAAAAGAAAATAAGACGTGATCATAACATCTTGTTTCATAGTGAAAATCCACTAGTTCTAAGGTACCATGTATATTAGTGAAAGAAAAATCTCTTCACGAAATGAACAGAATTAAACTCAACGGTCTATTATCCCATGAATTTATGACTCGATTTGAAATTATATTTTAACAAAGGTATGTAACAAAGGTATGTAATCGCTACAAAAATTTTTCGTGTGATTTTGCGTTATACCTAACAAAATGGCATATTTAAAAATGAAGTTTAAGATAATTCATAGATAGACTATTAACAACGAGATTTTTAATTGAATCATTTGATTCCTTAGAGATATTTTAAAATCTTATTTTTATCACCATTAATATAGAGTAGAAAATTTGAAATAAAATACTAATTTTTTACTCATTTACTACGATAACTATTAATTACCTGTATTTTAACTGACGAACTTGATGTCAAAAAAAAAAAATGTTTTCAACAGTCATGTACAATTGCTTTTTTATTTGATTTTCACTCTTTCATCAGCTAAACGACAACTCATAGAAGGAAAAAAGAAGACGAGATTATGATTTATCATCGTCTTTGTCCCATCACCATAATTATCGTCTAAAATGATTAATATTATTTCATATTGCTTAAGTTTGGAAAAAACAAAAGACGGAGAAATAAAGAAAAAAAAAAAAAAAGAATAGATGTATTTTTGATGCGCTGTTTTTTTTTTTTTTTTGTATTCCAATAACGGATATTATGATTAACGAGAGAATTTTTTGTCTTCTGTGATTTTCCATAATCTAGACGATACAAAACATCTATATAAAACAAAAGGCATTCTTCTCCTTTCTTAACTTATAATAAATGAGTATATATGTATATATAGATATACAAGTAAAATGTCGAATTGTACTATTTTTCATATTTTCTCGTTTTATCTAAATTCTTGGCCTACTATTTGTTCAATATATTTCCCATTCTAAGATTATCTTCTCTTCTTTTATGTAATGATCGTAGGTAAAGAAAAAATGTTAAAACTATTTAAGATAACATCGAAGTATGCGTACAACTAATTCTTTTCAAAATTGATTTTCATACATTTGTTCAAGTAGTTAGGCAATTTTATTTCATTTGAACTACGACTAGTTTTGATCAATTGTGACATCAAAGAGAGAGAGAGAGAGAGAGATAGAAAGGACGAATTTTGATAGTTTGAAAATAAATAATGAAATTTGTGGTCATTTATACGCTTATGAATAAATAAAAATTGAAAGAAAAAGACGAGTTGTTCATCACTCTCGAATTGTGTCATTTTGATCAAAAATTCATTGTTATGTCTGACTTAGTACTCATTTTCACTATTCTGTTGATTTATTTGGTTAAAAAATATTGTTTTTTGTTTATTTTCATCATGAATGGTCGAAAAATAATTACTGTTTAGAGAATAATTTAGAAACCTTTGAAGGAGTTTCTCTCTCCTTCTCCCTCTCTTTCTTTCTCTTTCTCTTTCTCTTTCTCTTTTTCTCTTGTTATGTGTTTTTTTTTTATTTTCTCTTTATTTTTCCTGTTGATTGATTTCTATAATGCTGAACAGCTTTTCTTATTCTTTTTTATCCATTTTCGGGTACTATCAAATGTTATCTATATATGCAACAAAAAAAATTTTTTTGAATATGTCCTATATGAATATCCGTATTTTCTGTTTTTTTTGTATATATGGACAAATCTATGGGTTATTTTTCTTCTCTCTAATAGGCACTGTAGTATAACTTATCAGAATAACTTAATCCAAAGATATTTCGTTTTTTGTATATATATATATACAAACCAAGAGAGCTGCCGGTGTTATGATAATTCTTTTCATCATCATCGACATTTTTTTCTTTTTTTCTCTCTTTACGTCATTATTGAGTATAATGAGCCGATATATTCATTCATTCTTTTGTTACAACGATTGTATCATATTGCTCCCGTTCTGTTCAGAAGAGGTAGCTTGTAAATGTTTTTCTCCTTTATTATCATTAAATAAATCTTATTATGTATATATATATTGATGAACACAGGAGCAGAAACCTTCAAGCTATGTCAAAAAGAAAAAACCGGGAACAGATGTAGTTCACGAGTTATGTACTATTGATTCTCGTTATTATTACTCTATTATGTCATCAATCTGACTCTGTTTTTGTATGTATTTTTGACAATGTTGTCTTTTTTTATTTTTTCATTGGAAGTTGATGTTTGTCAATGGTTGCCTATATTTATCGTTATTTTGTGTAATAAGAACATATAAAAAATTTTGCTTTAAGAAAATATAGGCATCTCTATTGACTAAACTAACTTGTGTTTGAATAAATTTATAATAATTCTTCGGCTATTTTACCATTCTTCGTTGTTTCAATATAGCAGAAAAATTAATATGTACCTTCGTTTCATAGGTTTTTCTTTTTTTTATTCTGCGCCCCCCTCTATTAGCTTATTGAACTTCTTTTCATATATTGAACATTTTTCATGTTTGTTTTTTTTGTAGAAAAAAAGAAAAGAAAAACAATAATATATTTCTCTCTTTGTCTGCTGTTCAGTATATCAGTAATACACATCTATGTACGTATACATATGCGTGAAGGGTGAGCAGCAAAGTATAATGAAAGAAAGAAGAAAAAAAAAGAATGATTTTGTTTTATGTATATATAGATACGTTTTTCGTTTTCAAGTACATACACTTTTTTTAGATCAAATGTTGTCTACATATCTTCTTTTGGTATGTTTAATTATTTTTGTTAATACTAAAAGTTAGCTAATAATGGCGACAGTTACAGCTGTTAATTGTCCAATACTTTTTCAAGTTGGAAAATTGGGAACGGTACGTGTTGATCGAACCGTTGATGTTTATCCTGAAACAACAAAACCTCAACAAATTTCCGCACGTCCTTGTTCCGTAGCATCAAGACAATTAATACAAAAAGCACCATCGTCCACACAACTGGTGTATTCTGCAACACCATTAAATATTCAACAGTCAAAAGATAGTTATGTACCGATTACAAAATGGATTGCCGGTGGTGAAGAAGAGCAATTAACGAACAATTCTGATATAGCTGTCATCTATTCAGTTGTACGAAATGCATCTATTTCTGCTGTTAAACGAACATCATCGCCTAAAATCGTAGCTGGTTCATCAAACATCCCGGTATTGACTCGATCAAAACAGTATGTCATTGAACGTCCATCAGGTGATCATGATTATTCGGTAAATGCAACAGTAGTTACACACGCGTCTAAACAAGCTCAAATTAAATCACTCGTTACAGATCGATCATCATCAACATCGATACAAAACAATATTTCTTCTCCACTTCCTTCACCCTGTTCATCATCTTCTTCTAAACCAGTCACATTAATTCCAACACCATATCTAAATCCATCCACATCACCATCAATACGTATTCAAACGTCAACATCATTTACATCACATGACAGGAAACCATTACATCAAAAACGACCATATTCATTTCGAATGTGTACACCACCGAATAATGAACCGACCACACCATTACCTGCCACTCCTTCACCACCTACAACAACAACGTTACGTCGTCGTTCATCTCGCACAGCACCACGTAATGTTATTGAACGACAATTATCAAATTTATCAGGACGTGTTAGTCAGTTACATGAACATTTTATTCAACGTCTATCAGATTTGACTAATAGTAGTCATCGTCAACGAAATCGTTCTTTAACATCGTTACATACAACATCGACTACGAGTTGTACTACGAATTCATCATCGCCCGTTTCCGGAATATTAGATACATCTAAAACATCTTATCGAAAATTGGTTAAACCGAGACCAAAATCAGAAACATATGACGATCATCATCGAATCGTCATGTCGACCGTTCCTTCGCCACCACAATCGACAGTACTACCGTTAAATCAATCAGGTAAACAAAATTCTTTCTCTTTCGTTTCTCTTCCTTCTTTTTCGTTATTGATGATCATATGTAAAAAAAAAAAAAGGACAAGGCTAGTTCTGTTCACAAATGTCAGACAGAACGTGTGATGATGTAGTTTATGGATATGAGAAAAAAAAATGATAAAATATATAATAGACATAAAGATAAATAGAAATAAGAGACTATTTATTATCAATAATTATCATTTTCAAAGAAAATAATCAACACTAATTTTTTTTTTGCACCCCATTAAGATTGAACGGTTATTGAAAACTATGTAACATTGTTCAACAGAAAATGAAAAGGCTTAATTTCATCACGTGTGAAGATTTTCAATGTTTGAAAAAGAAAACTTTTATTTATTGGTTGATAATCTGATGACTAGTCATCATTTGATAAAAGTTGTATAATCGGCTCAATCTGATGTCTTTGCTCATGAATCATATTGTGATTTTTAATCTAAAGTAAAAAGATGTGTCATGTATCGGCGTTTTAGAAGTATTCAATTTTTTTTAATCTATTTTTTGTTGAAATGATTGCTTTCTAATCAGGATTTTTGACCTTATCACTATCAAAAGTGATTTATACAGACACCGATCATATTTGAGAGATTGGTTTTTTGTACGCAAACGAATTATATGGTTAATCAAGAACATTACGAAAATTTATTTTCAGTTTTATTTTTTGCATAACGGTATATCATTCTGTCTCGCCAATACACACACATATACAATCATTATTTGTTTATAATTCATTTACATATTCAATTTCAATTTGTTCTGTAGTATTCAGTATTTTTTCTTTTCGTTTATTCAAACAATGGTCAATTTATTTCGTTAATGTCAGTCTAGATATAAAAATGAAGTTAAGAGAGATAGAAAGAGAGAAAGAGAATATTAGACTAGATGGGAAGTTATTTGATAGGTTTTTTTTTGTTGAAAGTAATAACAGAAAAATTCAATTGAGACATTTTTTGTGAATAAAATTATAACGTTTATGTGTGAAGTGTAGGACGTGTCCATGAACATTGAGACAAATAAAAATTATCAAGACAGTCAAGAATAATTTATTGATTGTTTAATCATTTGAATAAATAACAACAAAAAAGCTCTTATATATTTTTTATCGTAGGATTGAAATCAAATGTTGTAGATATGTATAAAATCAAATAACAAAAAATACTTGAATATATGTGTGTTCAACTCTATATGAACTTAATCTCATTTAATTGATATTAGATATCACCATCTTTTTCTTCCGTAATTTTCAAGATACTTCTGTTTTTCTAAATGTAACAGATGGTTACTTTTTAAAATAAAGTTTTCATACATATATGTGAAATAATCATTGATCATAGTTGAAAAATTAATTTTTTATTTTCATTTATCTCGTCTTATCTACTATATCTTATTTTTACATTTAAAAATATGTTTTAATGACTAAAAATAGTTACAACAAGATGAAAAAGATAATGTTTGTAGAAGAAAAAAAAAAATCAAGTAAATTTCAAGAGTATGTGAATATTTTTCAATTATCTATTCATTTTTCCAAGTGTTTTTCAAAAAAAAAGAAAACTTCTATCTTTTTAATATATGTTCTCTCAAATCACTCTTCCATTCTTTCTTCGTTTTTTTTTTCCATCTTCTTCTTATATTTGTCTTTATATCTATATGTGTGCATTTATTATGATGATATTGTTGAAAAATAATAATCATTATCTCTCTACATGCCAAACGAGTGATGGTGATGATGGTGCTAGTTTGTAAGAAAATGAATACATACATGTATATTAGAAAAAATAAAAAGAAGCAAAACAAAACAAGACAAGAGAAAATAAGAAAAGGGAAAAAAAAAAGAAGATAACATTAATTTGTATAGTATATAAAATCAATAGAATCGTATCCAAAAAATATACGCCAATTGTCATTATTATCATTACAATTTTTTTATATAGATTTCAATAATAGATAGACTAACTATAATGAGTCTAACTATAATGAGACTAACTATAATGAGTCTCTACTATAGATATAATAGAAATAGAATAGACTAACTAATCAAGAGATACATTTCTTGTTAATTCTATGTTAAAATGATGATTTCGATTTTTATAGATTCATTAAAATTATTCTGTGGAGATGAAATAAGAATAGTATGAGTCTAATGATTTAAAAATTTCTTTTAATATAAAGAAAATAAAAGTCTTTTATCATCGAGTAATATTTCAAACTGGTAAACAAAAAAAGATATTCGAAGAAATAAATAATTCACTCATAAAAATATAATGTTCTTTTTTAAAAGAAAGTCATATTTCATTATTTCAACTGTTATAATGACTCGTGGTTATTCTTAAGTTAGATCATCTATTTTCCAATGGATAATATACAATTATTTTCACATTATCGTTGTGTATTCATATCCAGAAATCAATGCCGATAAACAATGACATTGATATACGGTGTGAAATGTTCAGTTTAGGTTCAATTATCTTCAACTACAAAGTGTTTTACGGTTATCAATCTTTGTCACTGTTTTATGTCAATGTATAGATAGAAGTTATTAATTTATAGTCGTTGATTTTTCTTCTTTTTTTTTTTCTTTTTTGACATGTCAGACATCATTATCATCCTCTATTTTGATAGAAATTATTATTAAAAAAAACAAATTTACATTTTATTATAAACTTGAAACTTTTCATTGATTGATTTTTATGAGGTCATTGTTCATCTTGTTCACAAAGACATCAAATTGCACTTGCTTTTGTTTGTTTATTTGTTTGTTCTATATAGAGAATAAACTTTTTCTTCCTAACGCCAAACATCATCAAAATATGATGACTGTCATTTGTTTTGTTATGTTAACTTATGTATATTATATCGATAAAAACCATTTCTTTCTTTTATCTTCTCCACTCTATGATGATGATAATAATAATAATAGTAATATGTCATTTATGTGCCGAAGTGAAGATCTGTTGATTAAGAACAAAAAAAAAACATGAGATCGTATGTTTAACAATAATTCGCTAAAAAATATATTTTTGCGTAGAAAATAAAGTTTAATAACATATGTATACCTTCAATCTGATTCACTTAGTGTATCGGTAATTTCAATGAAAAAAAAAAATTCCAAGTTCTATTTACTGTAGAATAAATGTTCTTTAATAATGTTTAAATGACGCTATATTTCTATCCTTTTTACTGAGACACACACACACACACGTCTTTCTGTTGTTGTTTTATGTTCTTTTAAAGAAATAATAAAACCTGTAATCGATCCCTTGACAAACGAATATTAATATACATTACAGAAAATAAATGTCCGTCTGCTCCCTCCCACTCTCTCCCCCCGCTCCCCATTCGCTCCTCTGTTTTTTTCGAGTGTTGACGATCGAACAATATTGAGACATTAACATTGACAAAGAACTCCTTATAGTCTTCTTTTTTATTTTGTCTATTAATAAAAAGAAACGAAAATTGATCTAAAAATAAAATCTAAAGATGTAAATTATGCATATTAACTTTATTTTTTTGAATATCACTATGACGCGTGTAATCGATATAAAGATGTTTAATTAGTTCAATTTTAGTCAGAATAAGAATATTAACAAAAAAAAATACAACGTCATTTTGCATATTAAATTTTTAGTAATCTGAAAATTTCACTTAGATATTTGTTGTACAAATTTTTTTTGTTGTTTTTGTTTTTCATTAACAAATTTAAAGCGATAAATCAGTAAAATAGAAAGCAAGAAAGCATTTTTTCTTTTGTATTAGAAAAATTCAAATTTTTTAAATGATCAAGTTGTACGTTAAATCGTATACAAAGATGTTCTCTAGTTTATTCTAATATAAAAACAAGTACATTTATTTCTATGTTTGTTCTTGTTTAGCTGGATCATATGCCTCATTAACTCTATTGAGTCATCCAATTCCAAAAACTTCACAAAAATTACTAATCACAAATCAAAACGGTTCATTTCGTTCATATCCATCAGAAATTAAACGTCATGATAGTAATGTTAGTTCACTTTCAACAACACCGACAAATATAAATTCCACAAGTTATAGTGATACAAAAAAATGTCGGGATAAATATGAACAATCAATCAAACAATTGGACGTAAGACACAAAAAAGTTGATTATTATTATTATTATTATTATTATTATTATTTTCAATTTTATATCTTTTGTTTTAGGCTTTAAGAAAAGAATATGAACGACAAAAAGGAAAAAATAATTTAATAAAAGTTCAACAACTAGAACAACAAATAAAACAGTGTGAACTACAATTAACTAAATTGAAAAAACGATTAGATCTAACTGAGGTAAGATATTAATATATTTGAAGAATTAAACATATCTTTAATGGTAGTAGTTTACACTATACTCACTCACTTGCTAAATAATATTGACTAAAAATTAAATTAAAGTAGACAATATTCTATTCTTAGTATCTGATTCTACTAACAGGTCATAGTGAGCATTTTTCACTAGGTAGACGGACATTCGATATTTTTTATCATTGGAAATGATTGTTTTTGACTTAGAATGACTCTCTATACTTGATAAGCGTATTTTCTCAAGAAAAAAATCTTATTCTGAAAACTTTTAGTTTTTGATCAAAAATGCATGAGATGACGACCTTTTTAACCAGAAAAAAGTATCTCGGTCAATGTTTGAAAACTATATCATTCGATGCAGTTTTTTTACACTGATTTCGAACATGATCTCAGTTTTTAATACAAATATTCTTGTACTGATAAAAGTGACTTTTTCCTAGAAAATCAAGGATTTTTGGAAAACTTGTCGTACGATCCAGAAGCATTTGTGCTATTTATATAGCCGTATTACAGACGGGAGAATAAGTTTCGGGCTAAGTATTTTTGCACGGTCCGTACTAGTTGAAACAAAAAGTTTTATGCCATTCAATAGCGTATGCCTCGATTTTTCTTTATTTTGATCTGCATTTCGATTTTTTGTCTAATGTCCACATGGAGACACATTGTGCGAGGGACACAATAATTGAGCCTCTTCATATTTTTTGCATCACTTTCTTATTTTTGATTGTGTACTTTTTTTTTAAAAAGAGTCATTATTTCATTCATGGAATGGTTTTCTATATACTGTAAAAATAGAAAAATTTAAAGAAAATACTGCGAGGCTTCAACCTTGACAATTTTCTAACCTAAAACATAACGAAAAAAAAATATTTTGAACATGGTGCTATGCAGCCAAGTGGAATAGAAATGTATGTTCCAGTACTCCGAAGTATCGTCTTTCTTTCTCTATATCATCGGTTCGCCTTAAATGTGTTCTCTGCCATAAAAGACGATTGTATCAAAATTCAACAGAAAAAGAGTAAATTTGACTTTTTCGTCTTGGCACAGGAGAAGAATCGGAGCTGTTGGACTTCCTCTGTTCAGATGTAATAGGATATAATATTTAAGAATGAAATGGCGAATTTTTTCAAGAAAAGTTTAAATCCATAAGGTTAAAACTAAAAACGTTATTCAAAAAATACGAAGAGAGTCATTTATATTGTATCAATCTGTTCATTTCATCAATAGGATAGAGATTGTCATACCGACTGATTAGATTCGAACGTTAGAAAACTACTCTCTATTAGAATTTATATGTTATTGTTTTTTGAAGATTCCACACGAGTTATCGTCGGTCAAACCAAGTCGGAGTGATGAAAATATTGTACGCAGTGAGATTGTAATTAATTCGACGAATAATAATCGAACATCAACGGTAAGGAATTCTCCTCTTACTTTTCTCAATCCTATTAGTCTTTCGTTCTACATTAAAGATAGTGTCATAATGTTATATTATCTATCTATTATCTTCAGCTTTTTAATAATTGAACAATATAAAACTAGTTTTAATTGATAATTTCTATTTGTGCGTGTGTGTGTATTTTTTAAGCCTGGTCACAAGAAACAAGATTCATTGCCTGAATCGGCTATATTAAATACTATGACTACTATTAATAATAATAATAATACTGGCTCTACTGCATCTACAAACACTACTAATAGAGAATCCATTAATTCTCCATTGCAAACGATAAAACGAAAATTGCATGGAAATAAACATGACACGTATAATCTTGTTAAGGTAACAGAAAAATAAAATGGAAGAAAAATCCCATTGTGCTTGAACTAAGCAATTGCACTTTTTTCTCTCTTTCCCTTGTTTTTTTAATAATTAGTGAATCATACAGTCAACATTCTCAGGAAAATTCGCCTAAAGACACACACACACACCTGTTATCATGGGTTGCGCAGCAATTAAATAAATCTCGTTCTTGCTTACTAATACACATAGTCTGCTTTCATTCGTCCTCTTTGTCTTGTAATCAAAAGACCTGGATCATATACATTTCTTAGTAAAATATTAGTATTAACTTATGCCTCAAACAAGAGGAAATGGAAAAAACGTTCGTAGCAGCCACATGTTTGCTCACTCATTTCTTCAAGCATTCGATTAATCAGATCTCAACGATTGTTCAAATTCCATTTTATGACTTTATCTATGAATGATCCATATTTTTGAGTTATTTGTTCTCTTGTCATTTTCAGTGGTTTATAAATACTACGGTAAAAAAAAAGCAAGAAAATCCATGCGTTAACACCGATTGTTAAAGAGTGTGTGCTTCTTCTTGTTATGCTCTTTTTATTCTCACTGTTATCGTCGAATAGATTAATTTATTTTTCTTGAAAATATGTTCTAAATTGGCTTTGAATTAGATTAACCAATGCTTAAAAAGCAAGTAGACGGTCTTATTCAAATATTCATTCAACATGAAGAATTAAATTGAAATTGAAATCTTATTATTTCGTATTAAGCAAATCATGCAGTGATTGTTGTTTTTTTTCAAACAAAAAACAACAAGATATTATACCCAGATTTTAAATATGCTTTTTGTCCCTTGTTCTAAAATTAATCACAATACCATTGTTTATGTTAAGTTAACAGTCAAAATTAGCATAATATAACGTGTCTGTTAAATGGTCGACTGTTGTGATGTATGCTAGTACTGCTCAAAAAGTTTCATAATGATACCAAAAGGCTTTGTGTACATTTTATTCTTGTATTCCTTTCAAGACTAAGTATTTGTTCACTATTTGTAGCAATAAAACTACGTTACACTCAAAAACCAAGCTATTTTTTTAACTAGTGATGTTTAGTTCAATTCTAGTAATAAAAAGTAGAGAATTTGTCCATATATCTAGTACTGTATTTGTTCTTATATATCTGTTTGTTAAAGTTGAAATATCAGAAGGGACACTTTGGATCAATGTCATGATACTTTTGCTGAAGTTCGTCTAGAAAAGTATAACGTCAAAAAATTCTATTTTTGTTTACCAAAATATGCACAATTTTAAAATCTACAAAATACCTTTTTCTTTTTTTGTTCTTTCAGAGATTGAGTTATTTTGATACAAGTACTAGAATTAGAATGCTTTCGTAGGTGAAGCAATGCAAAAATGGTTGGCAAAAGGTCATATATTTTAGATGATTTTCATTCTCACAACAAACTGTCTGAAAATTTTGTTTTGCGATAGAAAAATTTAAAATTTAATCGTGAGTGAAAAATAAATTATACTCTTTTAATATCATTATAGTTCTTCTGTCTTTTTTGTTATTCTTTATCAAAAAATTTGTGAATTTTATCTAATGGAATGTTGCTACATCTTTTTTATATTACATTAGTTTCGGTGTTTAAGTTTCATCTTTGGATCGCACAATGAAACTATTGAACACCTAATTTTAACCAAATTTTTTTTTTTTTTTGTCTATCTTTTCATATCAGAACGAAATGTTTTGAGCAGTTTTAATTTAGGAAAAAAGGCATCACAACAGTCGACCATTTAATTTGCCCATCCATTATACGCGTTTATTCAGTGTATACCGACTATGATCGAAACTGCTTCTTAGTCCTTGTGCTTATTGCTTAAATATTATTTGTAGTTGATTATATTTTTTGTTTTAATCTAGTATTGGGACGGATCATCCATTCCTGGCGATGAAAAATTTAATTTTCTTCGAGTATGTTCAATATCTTTACTCATAGATTACTGAATATCTTTAGTAAATAATTTTTTTTGTTTTTCATTTTGACAAGGATACAATCGATTCCGAAGATGAAAGTCCACAGAATAATGTATGTTGATTAATATTCTTTTCAATTGTCAATATTATACATATTAAATCTCTTGTTTTTTTTTTCATCTCTTAGTTTGATCCAAAATTATTAGCACATTCTTATTCAACATCCACATCTTTATCATCGTTTGACGATATTTATTTATTAGTATCATCGTTGAATTGGGCACCATTGACAGTGTTTCTAAATTTTCTTTTGACTACAACAAACAGTGATCCAAGCCATTTGGTAAATCGATATATACTCATCCAACTGTTCTTCTTTTCTTTATAGATTTTCTTTAAATTTTAGTTATTTTATATATTTGTCGAAGATTTAGTACATTTACGTAAAACTGATAAAAATGAACTTGTTCGTTGGATATTTGAAATTCATTCCACATTTACGATGAATGGAAGTGTACGTAAAAGTTGAAAAAAAGAAAAAACAACTGTATTATTCTTTATATGTTTTATTTTTATTTTAGCCACTGTATATTAATCTTCCACAACAACAAATTGATTCTCTAAATCGATATTTTGAAAATTCTGAAACATTTCGTGAAGAAGATATAAAAACATTGTTTAATGATGCAAAAGAATATGTTAAAAATTATATTACACAAAATCAATTAACAGAATTTAATCATAAACGAACATTGGGTTAGTAAAATTTGTTTTTGTTTATTTCTATTTTCTAATATGATTTATTTTTACAAAAAATAAAAAATTTATGTCTAATTTTTTAGGTTTTATTAATTTGTATGGTGATTTGGCAATGATTCATGATCGTTCAAAACAGCAACATTTTATCGAAGAAGTTTTAAAACCACATATTGAAAGTTTATATAAATCAAATATTGATGATTGGAATAGTATTAAAAATGGACGAGAGTATGTTATTTTTTGATATATAGTGTAGAAAATGTATCAAAATCATTTAATATTTAATGTCTTTTTTAGTTTGGCATTGTTATGTTCATTAGCTACATATTTGAAACGATGTGATATAAAAAAATGTGGTAACATTCCATTAGATAAAATTCCTAAATTTTTTGATAAAGAACAACGACGTTTTATAGCAAAATTACAACGACCGAATCAACCTAAAAAAGTATGATTTATTGTTCATTTAGTATAAGAATACTCTCGTTAATTAATTAAGCATTTTTCCATAGAGCAGGCGAATATCTCGTTTTTCTGAGTTAAAAAAGGATTATTTTCGCAGTCAGATATTAATAAAAATAAAAAAGCTCGAATTCAAAAAAAAAAAGTTTTTATCGATAAAAAAGTCATTAGGGTGGACCCTTGCCCTTTTTGTCAAAAAATATTTTATTTGTAAATTTAACAAATCATACATCATACGATGCAATTTTTCATGCTGATTCCAAATGTCACATTAATTTTCAATAAAATGGTTTCTCGGCTGAGGAAAACGGAAAATACCTCAAAAACCAGGATTTTTTGAAAAACCTATAACTCCGTATAGGAAAATTTTGGCATTTTTTGGCAAGCACCATAGATGCAGGGCATCAAGACGAACATTTTAATGTAAAAATGAGTAAGATTACACCTCCGCTAAGTCGTGCGTTTCGCCTATACTGAGAACATCGTTTTTCCTAGCGTTTTTCTTATATGACCGTTTTATTTTTATCGAATATTTCCGTAAGGAAAAGCCGTAGAATAAAATTTTTTGCTCCATTCGATAGCGCATCTAACGAAGTAATTTTAACTCTATTCAAATCACAAAACAGCTCACTTTCGATTTTTGGCCAAATGTCCGCCTATATGTCCACTGTGCATGAGTTACAAGAAGTGTCGAGAGCGTGTATAGATCGATTGTGATAGGACTAGATCACAAAATATATAGAATAAACCATGGCTAGGACTCAGAATCCATAGGTCAAAGGGCAAAACACAAAACTTTTTCTAGATGAACAATTGTTTTGCCAATTAGAGAGAGCAAAAACAAAGGACAAGTGATACAATTTTTACGGAGGTATTTATGGTAGAAAATGAATAAATTATATCTCATAATGAAAAATAAATACAATTTAAGAAAATTTTATATAGTACAGGACAAATTCAGACCATGGAATTTTTTTTCTATATGTTCAATATGTGGGAGGAAAAAAATCAGCTGTTGTGCACGTCTCAGGTATTGAATTGTAGAAGAAAAAGTACAAAAATATGATAAATTTATTTTACTAAGATTGTATAGAATTCTAGAATAGAAAAAAATATTTCATTTCTTCTTTAAAATAAAAATTGTATACCGTATCTATGACAGTCATGTTTCTTTCTCATTTATATAGATCAAAGATCATTTATTATGTGAACATCAATTTATATCACCAACATTATGTCAATCATGTAACAGACCACTATGGGGTATTAATTGTCAAGGTTATTGTTGTCATTGTAAGTTAAACTTTGAAAATAAAAATATAAAAAAGAAAATTTATAATTATTTTTTTTTTTGTTGTACATATTAGATTGTCAACAAGCATTTCATCGAGAATGTACATTGAACGTTGAAAAATGTCCAAAAGATCGTAAAAGTGCTTTATTAACAAAACAAAAAAAACCGACAAATCGAAATCCATCAAGTATGTATTTAAATAAAATAAAATAAATTTTTTATTCTATTTAGAAAATTTTTAAAAAATCTCGCGTATGTTAAGGATCATTTTCTGCTGACAATTTAATACCTCAGCTATTTAATATTCCATCTTGTGTACAACAAATAAACACAACATATTTAAATCAAAATAGAAAATCTGTTGGTAGTGCTCTATTTCGACTAGGCAACAATCATTATAACGGTAGTTTTTTTGTTGTTGTTTGTTATGTTGTCAAATATGTGTCGTTTTGTCTACAAATTTAACACACTTTTTGCGTATTTGATTAAAAATTATTGGTATTGTTTATTTTCAAAACTAACTGTTTTGTTTCTGTGTCGTGTGTGTATATTTGTTTAATTTTATCTAACGTTGATTATTGAAAATTTCTTTTCACTATTTAACATTCTCATTTTTTATACGTTACTGTTTAGGTCCTTCCCGTGTCGATAGTATCATTGAACGACGAGAAGGTAGTTTAGGTAAGTCTTTTAGAACCTGTTTACTTTTTATTTTACAGTAGTATAATCTATTATACCATTTTTAGCGAATGATGCATATGATCCTTCACATGATGGCTCAGGTTTGTTATATATTTTTTTGGTGTTTTTCAATAGAAAGATGAATATATTTGATATTTCTAATTTTTTCATTTTAGATTCAACCGTAGGCAATATATTGTCAATTAATAAAGCATCTCAAGATAAAAATCCTACGTATGTTGATCAGAAAATCAAAATGATTTTATCTATTTTTTTCCTGCTTTTCTTTTGTTTTCTAGAAATCTTGGCCGATGTGCCAGCGAGAGACTTCGACCACACGAACGTCCTGTCGCATCAAAGAATCGATCTACCAGGTAAACAAAATTGTCATGTATACACATTCATTCTTCAGATTTTCTAAAATAGATAAAATTTTTGAAAAGCTACTGTTTGTATAAAAACGAGAAAATAACTTTTTTGAAGTTAAATTTCAATCTTATTTCTCGTTTGTTTTATTACTTTCAGTGGAAGCGACGATAGTGATGACGGGTATATACTTTATTCTTTGATCTTCAAACTTAAAATTTGTTAAACGCCTTCTTCTTGATATACACATCATTTTTTTTCTGGCAAATTTTAAAAATCTGATGTCATGGTGCACGCACAACCCGTCCATACGATTCTTCCTCCGGTAGTGATTCGTCTACAGTAACTTTATACATTTCATTCATCAACTTTTATATCAGAATCATCGGTGTCAGTGCTATTTAGTTACAAAATTACCACAATTTTCGCATGTATACGTCAATAACGGTCACGAATTCTTTGCTCGACGTATTTCTGTCATTTTTTTTTGTAACTGGATTGAGAAAAGATGTTGAACAGATACAACGTCGCTGTGCAAATTAATTAATTATTTTTCTAAAGTATTTTGTTTTGTTCGACTTGAGCAAGAAAGAGAAGACAAGCAGTCAATAGAGAAATAAACGAATATATGTAGACGAATCATTACTTAAAATGATGTATGCCTCCCTGCTCTTACATCCATGCGAATGTAGTATAATAAAAATTCTAGCTTTTAATCACATCTTTCACGTTTTCCCCAAAACAAAAAAAGAAAACCAACAACACCACCATTGCTTGTAGTTTTATTTCCGTGCTTTGTTGTTTTTTTTCTAAATCAATCGGGGATGATGGTGACGAGCGTCAGAAAAGTTTTTGCATAAAATATCGAGGACTTTTTCTCCACTTCAAAATAGTCTCTGATTTAGACAAAGAAGTGTTTTATAATCTACAAAAATCGGTTTTTTCGACTACATGCTTGAAACATTTTGATCAACTTTAGTTTCGGAAAAATTCAGAGTTTTCTGAAGGTGTCGAAAAAAGGTTTGGATAGACTTTTTTCGTCGTTTTCGACAATTACTTTCGTTATTATGAGACAGTCGTGAAGAGAGTTGAATTGTAGAGCAAACGTTTCTTTATAAAATTCAACAATAAAGTTTATTTTTTAACAAGAAGCATAATCGTTATGAAATGCACAATAGATATCACTTTTGCTAATTTTTATTGTTTTTCTCGAAATAACAAAAAATGTATCACTGCTGAAAGTTATGAACATACTGGCTTAATTTTCGATAAACAAGCAGTCATTGCTATGGTGAAAAACCCGTATACTTTGTGCTATATTTTGCTCGTTTAGAATTTTATAAGTCGATAGTTTTGTAGAAAAAAATGTTTGCTCTACAAGACTGTACACTCAACTTTTTCCAGAACTTTCTCGCCGTGACGGAGTAATCGTCGGAAACGATGAAAAAAAGTCTATCCAAACTTTTTTTCGACGCTTTCAGAAAACTCTCGATTTCTCCGAAACTAAAGTAGATCTAAACTTTTCAAGCATGTATTTGAAACAGAGGTGGCAGTATTGCTGTTACTCATGTAGTATATTATCGAGGAAAGTAATACTGTAAGGTATTCCTGTTGCTGGTAACCGTAATCTTCCATGTATTCTTATTACTAGTAACAGTAATACTGAACAGTATTTCTATTCTCAGCAACAGTAATACTGGAAGTATTACTGTTGCTGAGAATAGAAATATTCATAAAATTAGTATTACTTTTCAGTAAAGTAATAGAAGAAAAATTTTTTTTTAAAAGAATATTCAAAAGATTTTCTAACGTGTTCTTGGATGAATATTTCTACCAGAAAACTTTGAAAAGTCATCCGAACATTTTCTCTCTTTGTCTTGATGAAATGTCTACTATCCTTTTCAAATTATGAAGCCTGCGGCTGTTTGTTGAATAACTCAAGAACTGAAAGAACAAGAGAACTCAAGTTTTCATCATCCAAAAGAAGCAACTCGGAGGAATCTTTTTATAGCCCAAAGTGTTCTGTTCAAAATGGGGGTCAGGCGAGACCTTGATTTTCAGTGGTTCGGGCGTGGTATCGGACTTCCTTGAAGCCCCAGGATTGGTATTCGGTAACTTTAGGTGGTCTTGAAATCGCATAGAACTGACGTAATCGACCAAACTGAATCTGATGATAGAGTTTATTTTGGGAAAAAATTCCAAAAACCTGGTCAAAATCGCGTTTTATGATAGCTGGAGTTTCCATGTTGTTTTCACTTGATATTAAAAAGTTCATAACTCAGTCAAAAACATGAGAACGAGTTGAAACATCAAGATGTACGATATTTAAGCTGTTCTATATTCTACTTAAAACAAATCTGCAAGAAACATCTACAAAAACACTCAAAATTCTTATAGTTTTCCGAAAGGTTTTATAGAAAACTTTTGATCAATAACATCGTTTGAAAAACGATGTTATAAAATAATAACATGGTTCTTTCCGTTCCTGAGTTATTCAACAAACAGCCGCAGGCTTCATAATTTGAAAAGGATAGTAGACATTTCATCAAGACAAAGAGAGAAAATGTTCGGATGACTTTTCAAAGTTTTCTGGTAGAAATATTCATCCAAGAACACGTTAGAAAATCTTTTGAATATTCTTTTAAAAAAAAATTTTTTCTTCTATTACTTTACTGAAAAGTAATACTAATTTTATGAATATT